GGCCTGGGAAGCGGGCCTGGGAAGCGGGCCTGGGAAGCGGGCCTGGTAAGCGGGCCTGGGAAGCGGGCCTGGGAAGCGGGCCTGGGAAGCGGGCCTGGGAAGCGGGCTCGCTCATGTATTAGTCTTTCGATTGCTTTTGCTCACGTTGAGCGTGCGCGCGAGCACCACCATGCCGGTGAATCCGGCGGCGGCGCGGCGGCGCAGCACGGCCAGGCCGCGGGCTGGGACGGGGTCGTGGACGACGTGCAGGCGGCCGCGCGCAGTCTCCCAGCGCCCCCACACGCGCATGCGCACCGCGCCCGCGCGGTAGCCCTCCACCATCTCCAGTCGCCTCCCTCGCTCTGCACCGCCTCCGCCCTCGCCGCGGCTCCACGCCGGCGCCAGCACCAGCGAGTCCGCCGGCACGCTCACCCTGCGACATCCAACGCCGCCGCGCGCGGTATGAGGTCTGCGGCGATACACAAATATACATTTACATTACACACATTCACGCGTACACACTCGCGTACATGACATTACACTACACACATTACACACACGCGTACTACAGCGTCACGCTGACTGCTGTGCGGCTGGTGGGTGACGGGCTGAGGCGACCTGGGCTCACATAGTGCAGGCTGAGTAAATAGCAAGGGCCGCCACGGCGTCAGATGGGATGTCGGAACAAGCTTAAACATTTAATGTATTATTTTATAAACATATAATTTTATTAATTATTACCCAAAGTTAACTTTCACTTGGAGGATGGGAAAAAGCACTTTTCCCATCCTCCGCCCAGTCTCTAGCAAGAAGGATAAAATTGAAAAAAATATAATAAATATATTATGCACGTCTTGGCATGCGATAGCAAGTGAGTTTTGTACAATCACAATGTTATTTGTATTGTATTCTGTTTGAACCATTCTTAAGATTCAATGCCTCCCTTGCACAATACTGCATCATCTGTGCAGGCTGTCGCTTGCTCAGAGATTCCTATATTTGCAGCCCACGACTTCGACACAACTGCGTCTATACGGATCTCAGTACTGTTGCACAATGCAACCAAATTAATACATTAGCTTTATAAACTTTTCCTCAATTCCGTGTTTTTAATTTACTGTATGTTCATACATCTCTTGTCTATGTTAAAATTTAACATAACTCAAAGTTTTTAATCGTAACGAGCTGACGTCAATTGTCATGGGCTGACTCGCTTTGCCGGTTCTTGACGCCTCACCCGCCGCTTCCGCGGGCACTTGGAGTTGCCCCAACATATTGCTCACTTTTTCATATTAGCATGTGAGTGAGAAGCTGGACAGTCTTCTCTCCCATCGGCGTGGCCAGCGTGGGGTTTGCGACTCTGAATCCGTGAAAAGTTTTCAAACGCTTTTCTGGGGGTGCCTTTCACCACTGTTCGCGATATACAAACTAATGAATTTGCAGTGCAGACATTAATACGTGCTGTAGCGTCACGTTTGCTGCCCTGCATCAGGTGGACGCAGGGTAGACGCGAAGTGAGCTCACATTGTTAAGAGCTGAGTAAATAGATTTGGGCCACCACAGTGTCGCGTCGGGAGGGTTGTGCAGATTTTTTAGAACCGGATGACCCAAGGTACCGCCTACTGCTCTCGCGAACAAGGGTGGTGTCACGTGATAGACTGAAAATATCCCTCCCTTGCTCAACGTGGACCAGGTGGGGGCTGGGTGGGCGTGTATAAACACAAACGACTCGCTCAAACCGCGCCGGTGTGTTTTGATTCTGAAGACCTCGCTTGTTGCGCAGATCTTGCTGGTGCATTTAAGAGAAAGCTTGAGAATCGGGTGTAAGGTGCGAGTAAGTGTGCGCACCTGTGGAAGAGTCTGCGCACAGCGTCTGCGCCGCCAGCGCCGGCCGGGCGCAGCATCAGCCACGCGGGTGCGCGCAGTCCCCAGCTGCCGTTGCGCATCGCCTGCGCACACTCAAATCGAATTATTTTGACGTATCAGTTGATCGATTGGTTATACTGCGATTTTTTTATCTCTGCTCCTCTAGGCCCGACTTCACGATACCACTGATTTTCGCGTCTTTCTCCGTCAGTCTGCTAGATCTCGCATGATCGCGACCGAATATCAGTGGTGGATACGACCACGATACGATACTGCCTCGACCGAGAAAGACGCAAAATACAGTGACATAATTCCACCGTGAAGTAGGCCCTTTAGAGGCAGAGTTAAAAAAATCGCAGTATAGTTGAATTGTTGTCGGGCGCGTCAACTGTTATGGTCATTCGGTGGTGGATCTTCCATGAAGATGACATCGTGCGTTGGTTTAATTAGCGATGGTGCGTCAATAGCAATGGTCATTAGCCCTGTAAACTTTGCTAACATATTTTTTTCTATTGGTGGCAATGGTGTTCTCCCCTGAACTGTGAGATTTGATGCCAACCTACACGTAGGTTTAGTGCATTTTTCTTTATCTAGACATCTCCCCGTAGCGGGGCACAGCCGCAACAGGGACAAGCTCTGAGCTTCCGAATGGTCTCCCGATATGTGTTGTGTGAGTGTACGTGTGTGTAAGTATGGGATAAGAATAGAGCAAGGAAGATGAAGGAATGATCGCGCTCGGTCCGTGGTCCGTTTCTTAGGGTACTACATCTGCATTCGCCTGGTGTTGATCGGGGAAACCACGCTATAAATGCACTCATAAAATGGAGAAATTCGGACCAGACTGCCCCGGAGGAGCGTTGCACTTTCCTACGACTGCAGAGAAATATATTGCATAATGGTATTCATTATGGTACTGCTTCATTATAATACAGGTTAATTGCTGAGAAATTTACCGTTAAGGATTTGCCGGGAATATGTTCATTGATCATCGTTCGATTAAATGTTCCGTTGGACTCTAAATACTATTGTGCCAAGACAACCCTTGAGGGGGGGGTGATAATAAACCACAATGCCCACCATCCAAAGAATTAAAGACTCTGTATCAATTATTTTGGAAATGAGATAGATACTTAACTTTTACATATCTTTAATAAGCAGCATCCTCTTTTTACTGAAGGACTCCTCATTTGAAGTTTGTTTGTGTTAATGCTTCAACAATTCCTTCTGAAACATTTAAGAGACTCACAGCTATAAACTGCACGCTAAATGCCACGTAACTGTTCAGTATAAAATAGTTCAATAGTTCTCATTAGTCCAAGAAAATGTACTGAATGAAACTCCGTGTAATAGATAATAATATAATGGTATGAAGTTGTCGATTATCGCTCGCTTCTCTGACCGGAAGGTTTGTGGGTTTGAGTCCAAACGGTGGCATGATTTTCGACACTAGCCAGATAGCTAGGTAGAGTTCTATTGCTGCCTGAGAATTCTAGCGGCCAGCTACTCTGATCGGTACTCTGATCGGTAGTTTTCCGTGCTTTCTCCGATCAACACCACTCGAATGGTGGAGCAGAGTTGGCGCTTAGTTTTCGTGTCTTAAGTACAAAAACACGATTTGTCACACCTAATTACTCTACAGTTTAAGATCCTTTTGGATTATTTTCAAAATGTCAGCACAAATGTTCATCTGTAAAACCTTTTTTTCAGAAATTAGGGTTTTGGGCACCATTTGGGAACAAACTTTCCTCATGTGAAAATGTTCATATAAAATCTGAAAACCAAATCTTTGTCGACTTCTACAGTCTCGGCACCGATACTCATTCGGTCGTCTTCACGGATGACATTGCTTTCTCCCTACTGAGTAGAGAGAAAGTCATGTAATGCTGCACGAAAAACGGCGAATTTTAAGCAATAAAAAATGCTTATTACAGGACCTGAGAACGAAAAAGTGAATAAATCCAGTTGCAAAATATAGAAAAAAATCCTTTAAAACGTGGTGTACCCAGACTACATGTTTTGTTAGTCCTTCATAACGAAAAATCCAATGACAGCAGAACGTCCGTCCGTCCGTCCGTCCGTCCGTCCGTCCCCAATAGATCTGACTGAGGACACGGCCACTTAAATTTGAAACAGATATTTTAATTTTGGAGGGTACTTTATATGAAGCCCCTGGGACATTTTCAACATTTAAAAAAAATGGCTTCCTCATTTTTTATTAAATTTTTTTGTTGGGCAGTGTAAAGGACGTTTAAGTGAATGGTGCAGGTCTCATGTTCGTTAAAACCTTGATGTTATGAAAAACTTGAAGTTCAAATTATTTTTCGATGTCTTCCTACAACTGAAATATTAAATATAGAGATTTTTCCGTAAATAAATTCCGTTAAAGATTTTCAAATAAAATCATGTCAATTTTTCGAAAATTTGATTATTTTACGCGTTATTTTTCTTGAAAGTACGGGCGAAAAAATATGTACTATTTTAGAACCACTAGTTTTCAATATTTTCGACCGATTTCGAAATGGAAGTACGTTGAAAACATCAGCTTTGATTTCTCCCCATTCTTCTTTAAACAGTTTGTACCACTCCAAAGCCCGTGTGAATGACATACTCATCACATACACTTGTAAAAAAATAGGTTTCTATTGCTGTATTACCGAGTTTCACTAAAAATTTCACGTTAACACGTTCTATTCAGACGCTTTCCATTTTACGACGAGAGGCAGGCATACACAATCCAATTGGAACGAAGGCAGTGGCCCGACTGAGAAGGCCATGGTCGTCACACCGGGCGGAATGCAAAGAGGAAATGTCAGGTGACTCGACTATGTGACGATTGACTTTCAGGATTCGACTATCTGGCGTTTGCCTCTGGTTTTCGTACAAAAATGAGTCCCGTTTTTTTGTAGCCACGCCTCGTATGAGTTGGTCATAGATGACGGGTGAATAATTAAGTCGTTTAGGGATGGGTTAATAACTGACATGTTCATAAAGGCTAACATGGTCTCCTCATTTATGAAGGGCTTGAAACAGTAAGAAGATGAGCTACTTTGATCAAATTCATGATAATATTCACGAATTTGGAAGGTTTGTTGTAGGTGGTATCATTTATCATTGTACTGCCCGAAGGCTCCCATAATACGTACATAATAACTCCATGTCACTTTTTGTGTCAACGCAATAAATAAGTGATGGGCCGACTAATTATGTGATTTTTACATATCACGTACACCAATTATACCATGTTCTAGTTGTAGAAATCCGACGACTCGAATTGTGTATGATTAACTTACGTGCAACGATAACTGAAGTAAAACAAAATCTTTATAATATTGTGAGAAATACTATTTATTAACTCACAGGATTCTTGAGAGATTAAGTTGGTTGTAGTGAGCGATATTTCTGACTTTGATTGCGGTGGGTATATAGGGAAATATATGAGGTGGGAATACAAAGGCTGGGATTCACGTACGAGTACAGTAGTTCCTCGCAAACACGAACACAGCAAATCTGAAATTTTTGAATAATCCAAACTAAATGCGGGATGGCGGAAAAATAAATAAAATGTTAATTTTTAGTGTACAGAATGGATATCATAATTACTGTAGAACTGATCATCTAATTATTGACACAAGTTGTCGAAATGAGACGTTTATTGCACTGGTAACAATGTTATGTATCTCATATTAATATAGCAGTAATTTTCTCTTGCTTTTAACTTGCAAAATTGGTAATCTTCTTTTACCGTAAGGAACCGAATCTGCTTGATGATGCGATGTGATCGTTATGCTATGTTGCCTTTTTTTTACACCGCACGGTCCGTTGCATTGCCTGGTAATCCTATAGATGTATTTGTAAATGTACGGTACATTTTTCGGATCCTCCCCACAAAACACATGTTCCTTCCACGTCAAAGAACTAATCTACACTTGTCTACATTTTCTTGACAACTTTTACACCATTCACAAAAGAACGTTAACAGCTTCGGATAACTTTACTTTTCTTTTCAGTCCTCCCGAACATTAAAGAAATTGATTGCTGTATGTATTATAATCGTGCCTATGATGCTTTGGATTTTTTAAATTTTACCGCATTCGCGAAAATTAATATAATTAGGATGATTGGAAGGGTGGGGTAATAGTACGGTAGTGTGGAGTTGTCACGGTTACTAAGGAGTTTATTTTCAATAGCAATTGGTCATGGTGACTTGAAATGCAAATGTATTTGTTGTAGTAAATATGTTAGTGGAAATTCATGCCAGTAATATACTATTCACGTCAAAATGAATTCCTATTCACGTGTGTGAGGTTTATAAACAGCGGGCCCTGAAGCGGGGCTGGTCGCGAGGGGGGGGGGAGGGGCTGGAGGCCCTCAAGATCCACTTGGGCTCCGCCGGGGAGATTTTTCAATAATCTCAATTATATTTAAAGATAGTAGTTTTCGCGCAATTTGGCATTACGATCACCTTCACAACTACTGGCATTACGATACACATTATTAACAAGATTTTCTCTACAACTATTCCAAATTTGTTCAACCTTTTTTGCAAATAGTACTTTTTCCTGATGCTCTGTATTCGATATCAACGCCATTTTGCTGTAGTCGTTTATTTTTTTACCTAAAATTACACAAATGTAATGTCGTTAATATTCACATTATTTGCGATTTGTATAAAGTATTGCGTTTGTGAATACAATTGCTTCAAATAATGTCTGACAAGGTCTGTCGAAAATTCAAAAAAAATATGTGAAAATTAGCTGAAAATTCCGCATTTTCAGATTTGTAGAAACATTTACTCACAAAGGTTCCATATTTTTCTTGATTCTTTTTGTACGGACAGTCCTAAATGCAGTGCCAAAGCTTTGATTTACTTTTTTAAAAATCACAAACGTAATTTTGATAAAATATAACACACGTCGTTAATATTTACATTTATGATGTGTCATACATTACTGCACAAGTGTGAGTAATAAGCTGTGAGTATAAGTACTTTATAAGATGTCTTATGAACGGTGTGGAGAATTCAAAACTTTCCGACAAATTTCTTTATGAGCTCCAAATGCACATTTTCAGAAATGCTCAAACGCCATTTTCTGAAAAACTGCTCCATTTTTTGTAAGGATAGTGATAAAACGCACTGAACAACATGTCATCAATATTGCTTTGGTCTCGGTATTATTTTGTTTTTTTCAAAAAACACACAACTGTATTTTTTAATATCTCATGTCGTTCATATTTACATTACATGTACATTATCGCATTTGTAAAAATGAGTGTATGAAATGATTTCCAATTAATTTTTTTGAAAACACAAAAGTTTTCTATGAAAAATAACTCAAAACTGGTCATTTTTAGAAACGTTCGAATGACATTTTCTATAAAATGAAAATGTGCATAATTTTTCTCGTTCATGTTTTTTATAGTCATGTTTCAGTACTACCATTAAAGAACAAAAAATTAAGAAAATGCGAAAAAAATCATTTAGAGACCATAAGATAGCAGCTGGGTGGCGAAAAATCGAAAAAATAGCCCAGGTTAAAGACATTAGAAAACATAAGTTATGCAAGAACTATTCTGTTGCATCACCACAGATTTATTTTCGAGCAAGTATTTGCTAATGTTTGTCTTATGGTACCAGTTTTGAAATGTCTAACAGAAGGCCTTGTCAATTATAGGGCCTCAACCAACTGATAACCTCAACTTTGTTTTCAGAGATGTTTTTACGAAATACATTTTTCGAAGAACATAATTAGGCACTAGAATGAAGTCAGGAGCATTAGCTAAAGAAGGATCCTTTCTATCCCACACCGATTTACAGCAACTGAAACACGATGATACCACGAACTTTCATTTACTTCCACTGGCAACAATTTTGAAGAGATTCCACACGGATTCTGAAAACGGATTGACCGAAGAGCGGGCCCGCAGAGCCTTGGAATTCTACGGAGCAAACACCTTGAAAAAGACCCGACAGCAAAACAAGATTCTCTTCTTTCTGAAGAACTTCTTCGGAGGATTCTCACTTATGCTGTGGGCCAGTGCCGCCTTGTGCTACACAGCGCACTTCTTACAGAGTAATCATCAAGGTGGGAAAACCAAATCGGACGAACACTTGTACGTGGGGTGTGTGCTCATTGTCGTCGTTATTATAACCGGGATATTTACGTATTACCAAAGCAAGAAGAGCTCCGAGATAATGGATTCGTTCTTGAAGATGATGCCGCAGTACGCCACCGTGGTTCGTGACGGTAAAAAGCACGTGATTCTCGTGGAGGAGGTGGTGGTCGGGGATTTGGTGGAGTTGGTCCCTGGCGACCAAGTGCCCGCCGACCTCCGCATCGTGAGGTGCTCGGGGCTGAAAGTGGACAACTCGTGCTTGACCGGGGAATCCGACCCGCAGAAGCTGGACACCGAAACCCACCAGCAGGGCCTCTTGGAGGCGAAGAACCTGGCGTTCTTCTCGACGATAGTGGTCGAAGGCACCGGCAGAGGGATAGCGATCGCGTGCGGGGAGAACACGCAGATCGGGCGGATCGCGGAGCTCACTTCCGGTCTGGCGGCGAGCGAGACGCCGCTCGCCAAGGAGATCAAGCGCTTCGTCAAGATCATCAGCATCGTGGCCCTCCTCCTGGGAGGCATCTTCTTCGCGCTGGCCCTCGTCATCGGCTACGAACTCCTACAGGCAGCTTTGTTCCTCATCGCCATCATGGTCGCGAACGTGCCCGAAGGCTTGCTCGTCACCGTCACCATGTGCCTCACGTTCTCGGCCAGGCAAATGGCGCGAAAGAACTGCCTCGTGAAGCACCTGGAGGCGGTGGAGGCCTTGGGATCCACGTCCGTCATCTGCTCCGACAAGACCGGCACGCTCACCCAGAACGCGATGACCGTCTCGCACATTTGGTTCGATTTCAACGAGATCCGCATCGATCCGGCGGCGCCGTCGAAAGATCTCGATCTGAAGAACCCGCTGCTGACCGAGCTGTGTCGCGTGGGAATGCTGTGCAACAAGGCGGAATTCAAGGCCGGGGAGACGGATCCCAACCCGTACAAACGCAAGATAATCGGAGACGCCTCCGAATGCGCCTTGTTGAAGTTTACCGAAGTCGTGCACGGAGACGTGATCGAGTACCAGCGTCGCCACAAGAAAGTGTGCGAAATTCCGTTCAACTCCACGCTGAAGTATCAAGTGTCCATCCACGAGACCGGCGACAAGGAGAAGCCGTACCTGCTGGTGTTGAAGGGGGCACCGGAGAGGGTGCTGGAGCTGTGCAGCATGATGTGCAAGGCGGAAGGCATCGTCCGCATGACGCGACTCATGAGGCGCAACATCAAGGAGGTCTTCTTCTTCTTCTTCTTCTTCTTCTGCCATACACTGATTAGTGCGTTGGATAGTAACCACAAGATCCCAATTTTGCCATTGCTTCCACTAGGAGCGCTAGTGCGCCAATTTTGATGTTTGATTTGAATGCCAGGTAGCACTGGCTAAATACAAAATCCACAATCGTGTCTAGGAATTCAAATTGAAACTCTGATTGGTAAAAAATTGCTAGAAGATTTAATTTTGCTAGGATCGGTCAAGTGCCTTCCCTGGGATCTGACGTGCCGACAAGCGTCCGCATGCACACTATTTGCGTACGTTTTGCGTAAATTTGCGTGGAAACACTGGGTAGAATGTCCGTTTCGCGTTTTGGACTCGCTGCAGGTTCGTTTGCCTGCGGCGCAGTGTAGTGGGTTCGTAGACTTCCTCGGTCGGAGCCAATGCATTATTGGCTATCCGGGATGAGCCGGTCTCGGTCAATGTTACTGACGTTTCGGCCATCTTGCTGTGGCCTTCTTCAGAGCTACACTGCATTCTCAGTTAATTGAATTGAATTAATGCCTTATTTTACGTGCCGATACTCAGGCCATGATGCCTTCTCTTCCGTCTGACCACGCAAATTTCTCAATGCTCCTTTCACCAACAAGCGGAGAAAGGAGGTATTTCTTGGGCGAGAAACAGGCGATTTCAATTTCAGCTCAGAGGCGTCATTTAGGCTTGAGGATCTTTTACGCCTCAGTTGGCTGAATCTTCTGGAGGATTTAAACATACACTCCCCGTAGTTGTTTGTTATATGCGTTCGTGTTATTCCGCGGCCGGAGTCAATGCATTCTTGGCTATCAGGGATGAGGCGCGTCTCGGTCAATGTTACTGACGTTTCGGCCATCTTTCTGTGGCCTTCTTCAGAGCTACACTGCGCTATAGCTTCAGAACAGTATAGCTCTGAAGAAGGCCACAGCATTGACCGAGACGTGGCTCATCCCGGATGGCCAAAAATGCAGAGTAGCGTGGCGCGCGGTCCGCTGCGCAGGTGTGCACGTCGCTGGCCGAGTACGGGGAGCGCGTACTGGGCTTCTGCAAGCTGGACCTGGAGGCGCGCGCCTTCCCGCAGGGCTTCGCCTTCAGCGCCAAGGACGTCAACTTCCCGCTGCGGCGCCTCGTCTTCGTGGGGCTGGCTTCCCTCATCGACCCGCCGCGCCCCGGCGTCGCCGCCGCCGTCGCCTGCTGCAGGTCGGGGGAGGGCAGGGCAGGTCGCTTTCATCCGCTGCAGTCCGGACGGGGATTCGATCGGCAGCGTTCTCTATCCTCGCCTCTTACTAATACGCACGTATTTTTACACTGTCGTACGCGTCGGGAGGCCAGCCCGGAGCTGTCCCCGCTGATGGGAAACGCGCCTGCGTTAGTGATACACTGAGTCACCTGGACCCTGAGTGTCACGATGACGCGCCTTTAGCTTCAAGGTGGAGGCACTGAGGAGGCGAGGTTAATCTCGTAGTTGCCGAGTAACCCAGCAGTCGGGCCCCTGGCACGTCGACCTTTGGGCAGGATGTATGAAGGATATCCCATCTCTTTCCTGTCCTATTCTCACCTCTTACACACAAAATTACAGGGAAGCACGCGGTTCGAATCCAATGACACACAGTCAGGAAGGCAGAGTGGAGATGAGCTTCGTTGAAACAACAAAAATAAAGATTAATTTTTTTCTTAACGAAATATGTTCATCAAAGAAAAAACCACAAATAAATATTCAATTCTTCGACAATATGAGCAGTTTTTGCGAACTTTGAAGGGTGAAATAATGGCAAATCTGATTTTATTGAAATATTTATTTTTGCTAATGAACATGTGGCGGGACACTTCGCAAACATAAGTTATAGATGTGCTATTTCATCCTTTTTGTTAGCAAGCGTAATGCACTATTTTTTTGGAGGGAGGGGGGCTCAAAAAATCTCTCTGACTGCTTCACGAATTGCTATCAATCAGGGGTTAACGACACTTGTGTAACTTCTGTTTATGAAATTTTCCAAACCCATTATTGGCCCAAAGTGATTCTTTTTTCACCCCGCTAGACATTTAATGTGAAAGAACTATATATTACAGCAACGAGGTTAATAAAACTACAACACGAACTCTGATGCTTGTAGGTCGGCAGGCATCAAGGTGATCATGGTGACGGGTGATCACCCTACGACAGCGCTCGCTATCGCGCGGCAGGTGAGTGAACCAAAGCTCCATCTAATGGCGAAACGCGAGGTTTCGCTTGGAGATTTGCAATATTACCACGCAATTCAGTAGTATAACGGAATGGGTGCCGGTCCGCCCGCAAAACATATATCTGGGCTCCCCTTATAAATATATAAATATATGAATATATCATATGTAAAACACAAATCGTGTTAAGATCATAATAAAATATCCCCTAATGATAGGCTCCCTTTTACGAGGGTACGTGAGTAGGCCTTGCGGTCGGAACATTACACCACTGACATAATTCATATCAATAAACCTTGATTGCGAATGCGGCGCGCGGACGTCAATTCTTTCATATTTTTTTTATTTCTTGAGCTGTTTTGGATTTTCGTATATCATAGCTCTTGTATTTTTATCACCCTTAGTTGCTCATACCCCCCGAGTCCAATTGTTCCAGTCGTTGGAATAGAAATAATTTACTCACTGTGAACGCTGCTGACGTGGAAGAATTTGAAGGCCGCCATATTAGAGAAAACTTTCGTAAGTCGTGGCCATAATTGGGAATGTGATAGTGAGTTACTTGTATAGAATAACGATACTTTCTTTGCGGTGTGTGCATTGTTTACTGAACGAAAATATTCCTAATATAAAATGGGTAAGCGGTGTGCGTCATATAAGGGCGTGAACAAATTCATTGTGGCAAATTTAAATTCAGCGAAAGTGTTCACGTTTGCATTGTTAAAGAAGAAGAACATCAGCTTACATTAAGTATGTATCAGCACATTGTCGATAAAACATTAATATTTTGATTTTCATCTTTTTATTTCTGCTACACACATTCTAAACAAAGGTAATGAAGTTACCGAGCAGATTAAGTGCAGTGTGAGATTTTGAATCCCGCGCGCAAAGCATCCTCTAGAATGGCGGTCACGGTACCTTTCAATATATCCTGCACAATCAGACGCATAGCAAACGAGGAAAAATTTCGATAAGTGAGTCCTGGACTACGGTAACCGAGCTGGATGGAATCTGGACCAAAAAATTAAGCATGCGTTTTCTTTCTGTACAAATTACACCCTTTCTGGTTCGTCATTTCTGGTGTCAATGAAGATTTTTTTGTGGAAAACAGGTTTAAGGTATATCAAGAAAAGACGTAGAATAGGGACCAAATCACATGAAAACATATGAAAACTTTTACTATAAGCTAGGCAGTAACTCAACTATAATATTACATTCAGTTTGATCCAGATTTTAGTTATGAAAATCCTAACCACTTAAATGTCTTTGTTATATGCTACGTTAATAAAATATTTGAAACAAATTTAGATGCACGCTTATTTCTGATTATTCAAATTTCTTGGTTTATTAATGTTTATTCACAGTCTTACTGTCAACGTTTCGAAGTTTTCAATTTGATATTGTTGTGAGGATATGTAATTACATTTCATTGTAATAATATACCGTAATAATACATTTAAAAAAATAACATTTGTGACCAAAATTTTAGATGTTGATTAAAACTACCCTATTTTGAAATTTACAAATGATATGACTGTACGTCTAAAATTATTTTTTTAAATAATTAGTTGCAAATAAATAAACACACAAATTTATTTCTTCTAGGTACGAGCAAACTTACCATAATATTTCAAGAATAAAAAAAAAATGTTCAAATGGTGTTGTTAGGAATATTTCTCAGTGGTTGTCACGGGGAGCCGAGGTCAGATGCGTTATACGTGAGCATCTAGTTACGTCGAGGCTTGGGGGAAAATTTCAATGTAGACGGTGAGAAAAGCAGGGGGTAGGAAAGGGTGGCGCGACATGGGAGGAGAACCATGTATTTTCTGGAATACGAATTATTTTTTTTCGCAAATTGTTCATAGAGATACCACTGTGATTGATTTAACTGTGTGGAGAAAATGCAAGGACAACACCAACATCCACTCGTTTGGCGGGATTCGCACCCGCGACCCTTCGAGCCGAGGTAGCTGCGGTGCGTCAGCCTTAGCCCAGTCCGGCTGTATTGTTAAGAACGGCGCGCGTGTCGGGCAGGTGGGCATCGTGTCGGACGGCAACTCGACGCCCGAGGAGATGGCGCGCAAGCTGGGCATCCCGGTGGAGCAGGTGGACCCGGAGGACGCGGGCGCCATCGTGGTGCACGGCAGCGAACTGATGACGATGTCGCCGCGCGAGCTGGACGAGATCCTGCTGACGTACCCGGACATCGTGTTCGCGCGCACCACGCCCACGCAGAAGCTGAACATCGTGGAGGCGTACCAGCGCCTGGGCGCCATCGTGGCGGTGACGGGCGACGGCGTCAACGACTCGCCCGCGCTCAAGAAGGCCAACATCGGCGTGGCCATGGGCATCGCGGGCTCCGACGTGGCCAAGCAGGCCGCCGACATGATTCTGCTCGACGACAACTTCGCCACCATCGTGGTGGGCATCGAGCAAGGGCGCATCGTCTTCGACAACCTCAAGAAGTCCATCGTGTACACGCTCACCTCCAACACGCCCGAGATGCTGCCCTTCATGTTCACGCTGCTGTTCCGCGCGCCGCTGCCGCTCGGCGTGTTGGCCATCCTGTGCATCAACGTCGGCACCGACCTCTGGCCCGCCATCTCGCTCGCGTACGAGGAGCCCGAGTCCGACATCATGGAGCGCCGGCCGCGCGACCCCAAGAAGGACAACTTCGTCAACTGGCGGCTGGTCTCCATGGCGTACATTCAGATCGGCTCCATCCAGGCTGCCGGCGGCTTCTTCATTTACTTTGTGATGATGGCGTCGTACGGATTCCTTCCCTACGACCTCCTCGGCATCCTCGAGAAGTGGGAGAACAAGGACATCGACGACCTGGAGGACTCGTACGGGCAGGAGTGGTCGTACGACGACCGGAAGACGCTGGAATACGCGTGCCACACGTCCTTCTTCATCTCGATCATGATATCGCAAATCGCGGACGTGATGGTGTGCAAAACGCGTCGTTTGTCTCTGTTTGAGAAAGGTATGAACAATAAGGTGATGAATTTCGGAATACTCTTTGAAATTTGTTTCACTGTTTTCTTTGTGTACACCCCTAAGGTGAACACTGCACTGCACCTCGTGCCTGTTGGTTTCATGCCCTGGATACTGCCTGTTGTTTTCGCATTGTACATATTGACGTATGATGAAGTACGTAAGTTTTGGATAAGAAAACGGCGTATATCTTTTGTTGCAAAGGAAACATGGTATTGAAAAATAACTTTGATTGCATTTTCCGTAGTCGAGATATCAATAAATGCGTTCTATTAATATGTTCATTATAAGTAAGGGTATTAAAATTATATACTTCATACACAGGTATCCCAGAATAAGTGTTACACACTTCTAGGGCATATAGAAGGGAAAAAATAGGGGTTTTGCCAATGAACATATTATGAAAAATTTCACATAACGAAGCTCACAGGTGGCAAAACGTAACCCGTCTGCTCATATATATTATTTTCTCAGTCATTCTCTCTGGATCGCTTACGCAGTCTCGGAGGACGTGCGCGCATCTTATATGGTTCCGAAATCTCTACGTAGGTCTTACACCGCCTTACGAGGCTCAGGGCATCAACTGATGTCATTGCAGTATCTCTGATAGGGAGATCTTGGAGTTCAAGACCCGACAGTGACAGGATTTTCGACACTAGCTAGATACATAGTTCAAAATCAGCCTCTGTCTCGAGAAGAATTCTGCCGACCGGCTGCTCTGATCGGTAGTTTTCCGTGGTTTCTCAGATAAACACCAGGCGAATGCCGGACCGGCAACCTGACAAACAGTACGAGAAATTTGGGTTTCTTCTCCCTTGTCCGATACTCACCCCTAACACACACATACACACAGGTCGGGAAATCAGTCAGGAGCTTAGTTAGTCACAGTTGGGAGATATCTGAGTAGGAAAAACGAAGAGCGACGACTTACAGATCAGCGCGTGATTTCGCCCTCGAACAGGGCATGCTCACCGTAACCTCCCGCGAAATAAAATATACACTCTGTTGACAGATCTAATGACTTTAGTATTTAACGTGCTCGGAAACATCAATCAACGACTAAATGAATGAGTTCGAGTAAAAGTACCTGCATTAGTATCCGCACGGCGTGGGCGTCGACGCGCGGCAGCAATAGCAGCGCGCGCCCCTCGCAGCGCAGCAGGTGCAACGCCTCGGCGCCCACAGCGCAGCGACCGCCGACCGCGCCAGCGCCCGCTGCACGCGCACGCGTGCCTGCATCAGCGCCTCACGCCCCATGCACACAGAACAAGCGCACGCGAACGCCCTGCACAGGCCCTCACGCCCCCATGCACACAGAAACGCACGCAAACACCTGCAACAGGCACCCTCACGTGATTGAATGACGTCCATCATGCTACAGAACAAGCGCACGTGCGCCGCCCCTGCACTGAACACTCACGCTGCATGCACAACAGAACAGCGCACGTGCGCCGCCCTGCATAGCGCCCTCAACGCTGCATGCACACAGAACAGCACAGCGTGCCCGTCCTGCCAGCGCCTCAGTTGGAGCCATCATGCACCAGCACAACGCACGGCACTCGCTCCTGCACAGCACTCACGCATCATGCACACAGGCTAAACGCAACCGCCTGACAGCACCTCAGGCCATCATGCAAACCGCACAACGCACGGCGCACCGCCGCGCTGCCGCATCTGACGCTGCATGCACACAGAAAGCGCACGTGCGCGCCCTTGCACAGGCTCGAGGCTGCATGCACCAGAACAGCGGCACGTTCGGCCTGCACAGGGCCTCTACGCAGTCATGAACAGCAAGAACGCACGTGCGCCGCCCTGGCACCGCAACCTGCAAGCTGCATGCACAAAGAACAGCGCACGTGCGCCGCCCTGCAAACAGCGCTCACGCTGGCATGCACACAGAACAGCGCAGCGCACCGCTTGCACAGCACCACGCGCCCATACATAGCACAACGCACGCGCACGTCCTTGCACAGCACCTATGCCACAGCAACGCATAACACAATATCATGCCACTTCACAGTTACATACCATTAAATAAGTAGTGTTTGTAATTACTAAATTGTTGATGCGGCTAAAATAAAAAAAAGAATACAAATAGTTTTTTCTTTCTTCAAAAACGATTCGACAATGACATACGTAGCGAGGGGGAAGAAAAAAGGGACAAGAAGAAACAACGTTGCGTTTCCGGGCGGGAAGTCAATGTTGTCTGGGGTATCGGGACGAGGCCGCGTCATTGACATGGTGGCTAACGTTTCGCCAACGTATTCGTGGTCTTCTTCTCAGCGCTCTGAAGAAGGCCACAAACACGCTGGCGAAGCGTGCCACATGTAGTGACGCGGCGGGTCAGGATAGCCTAGACAACACAAGAAACAAAATACTACAAACGCGAAGACTATTAGTTTTGATGGCACAGATTTTCCCGTATTAGTTTTCTACTGTTCCTTCAATGTTACGTAACACTAACAATACTCTACCGCCTACGTAACGCAGTGTAAAGCTGCTCTAGAGCCCCTTTCCCTTCCTTTTAGCGTTACGTAATTGATGGACGACGCCCTAAGTGATCTAAATACTTGATTCTTGCAATAACATTTACTTTGGGTATTACGATTAACAGTTTCATTATTCAAATTGGCAGGTTTTGTGAATTTCCGGTTAAAATGTAGCGTATCTCGTTTCCGATATTGCAAATCGGGAATCGTGGTCCATCTGTCTTCCTTCGTTCTCTTAAAAAAAATTGATTTTATGCACTGTTTTTTTTTTAAAAACTAAAGATCCACTTATTTAAAGACAGTCTAATTATTATTTTAAAACAAGAGATACAAACAGATATATTTCAACTTTTGTATTTTTGTTCTGCATAAGCGTTTTGATCAAAGATGTAAAAAAGTCATTTAATGCTTGCAAGGACCATAAATTACAAGTGGGTAGTATCCGAAAGTGGAAAATGGATTTGTCTTACCCAGTGAGCTCTAGTGAAAAACTGAGACGGCCTGTGTGTTTGAAATCGTACGATTTTCGCCATTGTTGAAAGTCTATTCTTCCTAGTTATCGCGAACAAATAGGCAGAATTGCGTCTTCATTTTAACTCTCAATTTTAAACATTTATTCTCGTCATGGTTCACTAAACTTAATAAAAGGTTGAAAGCCACAATTTTAATACATTGAACTTCAATTGACTACACATTTTTAACAAAATCCGGCATTTTCATTCGTTGGAAACCTTTTGAACATTCACGCAGGGAGAGTTTTTTGAATTGGGTATCTTAATAATTTTGTTAGGTCAACATATAAACATATAGTAGTCGGATAGCAAAAAAGAAATATTTTAAATAAATGGCAACGAATATATCGGTACTAATAACATTCGCGAGATAGTTTACAGATGCTTTACACTAATGTCCACGGCAATAATTTTTTGGTATTTTGTTGATAGAGACAATTTTCTAAACATAATTGAGCATCCTTAAAGAGCACACAAGACACATTTACTCGTAAGGAAATTCTGGTAGGTAGACCGTTCCGGCCAACTAACGAAAAACAACCGTTCGATTAATTTCAACATTCAGAGGATTGCAGTTTGTGCATCCAGGGTATTATGTTGAGATCACTGGCTTACCGTGCGGTGGGTGTGCGGAGGAAGTTCGAGTATGAGCACTAGAAGCGCGCGCGTAGTTGTTCTGCCCCGCCAGCGCCACTCCGCTTCCTGCGCGCTCGGCACGCCCTTGCCACGCCACCGAGCGCTGCTGACACCGCGCGGAACAGCACCACCCTCTCACGCGGCGCGGACATGCACTCGTGGGGCAATGAATGCGTAACGTAAGTTAGTATCTTACGTCTCACTATTCATCTTCTCCCGGTAGTAGGAGCGCAGTTTGAATGGAAATTGAAATACAATGTAGCGCAATTTTTTTCTGGGCAGCGCCATCTATGGAGTTACAACAAAATTAAAGCACATAAAACTTCCTGGGTAAAAAAACTCGTAGATACATGGTGATTCGGTCAGCGGTGTCGGTTTTATATATATATATATATATATATATATGAGGTATGAGAGGGAGTAAGTAAGAGACGGAGAGGAGAGAGGCGAAGGAGGCAAAAAGAGGGAGACGAGATAACCGTGAGTAATGAGTACACGCAGACACACGCAGGTTTCTAAAGGCCTTTTGATTCTTTGTACGACGTAGGCTTCGCGCGGTACTCGAGTTCATGGTCTTCTTGGCTGTCCGGGGAGGCGGCGCGTGTTGCTGAGAGGCCGACGTATTTCGGTCTGTCATATCTTCGATTCGCTTCCTGGCAAGAAGCCTGCCGCATATGACAGGCGAAACACATCGGCTTTCAGCCAACGCGATGTCACCGCGGACAGCTGAAGTCAACTACTTGATCTTGTTTTTGTACAATGATTCATTAAATATTCGGGATGAAATAATTTCTTTCTCTTTCTACTCTTATTTTTTGATATCGAAAAAAGACCACATTTTTTTATAACTGAAGAAATTCGGAATGGTAAATGCTAATGGAACATAATTGAAAACCTAATTAATGCTGGGAAATTGATATGGTTGAAAATTTCAGCTATGAATTAAGTAGCGTGACATCGTATTTCATTAATCACTAATACTACTCAAAATAAACATCTTAATTTATTTTGTACTCGCATATTGAATGCGACACATAAAAGGTTTTTCACATTCAAACTGCACACTTTTGATACTGATGATATGCATTATTTATTTGTCTCTGTTTTAATTGAGATAATTTTTTTGTCAGATAACTACTTTTAGTACATTTATTTATTAGCAAAATACGTTAAGAATATTGGGTCTGTTTCTCTATTGATTAACCGAAAAGGGCAAAGTTCATAGTTGGCACCTTGCATCATTTTCACATATTTTCAAATTACCCTTATGTATAGCACGTTCACAGATTGAGACTAACTGGATGTTAGTGAGCACGAGAGATCCATTTCGTGAATGTCTCTACATACTTGGGCATCTATATCTCAAAATCGAACTTAATCCGAGGTACCAAAATCCATGATTCAAGTCGTGATTGGCGGAGTTGAAACAAATAACATTGCCCGAAATAAGTGAGCAGCAATTTGGCATCAGTGGATTATTTAGCAATGAGGGTGGTTGGGCGTCAATTAACAGAATTCGAAGACGCCAGGCACTTATACTTCTGATCTTGGTAGTGTTCAAGATTGAGAGATTTGAAATCTT